AGTGCGATGTCAGAGCGTCGCCTTCCAGCGGGGAGTGAGACAGGGAGAAAAACAGCGGGCAGTGCGCATTCTCGCTCGTGGCGAACAGATCCACCTCCGCTCTCCCGTAGCGGGTCCAAATCATCCGCACCGACTCGGTGTTCAACCTCCACTCTCCTTGAGGAATCCCCTTCCTCGAAAGCATGTCCGCCCCGCGGTTCAGGAGACCGGGGATGTGCGCTGCTCTGATGGAGAGAAAGTGACGGTCCGCCCATAGCAGGAGATTCGCTGCTTGCTTGTACAAAGCCCTGGAACGTACGCCTCCTTGGTGATTTATGTACGAGACCACAGACATGTTGTCGGTGCGAATCAGTACCTGTCGCTGTTCCAGCCGAGGCCGAAAATCCTTTAGAGCTAAGAACACTGCTTCCAGCTCCAAGCGGTTTATGTGCCACCGGCTCTGGGGTTCTGACCACAGCCCCGAAGCCAGTATGCCCTCGCACACTGCTCCCCAGCCGCGAGTTGAAGCGTCCGTCGTGACCACAACGCGCGACGTCACCAAGCCCAGGGGAACCCCCCGGCTGAAGAGATCTGGGTTGCGCCACGGCCTCAGAGGTTCGATGCAGCCGCGGGAGATCACGATGAGCAAACGGCCCAAAGTCCACGCCGTCCAAGGGACTCGAGATTTCAACCATAATTGCAGGGGGCGCATGTGTAGTAAGCCCAGATGACATACCGCTGCAGCAGACGCCATGAGCCCCAGCAGCCTCTGAAATTCCTTCAAGTGAACCGAGATGCCCAGTCTGAAATGGCGCTGGGAAGACAAAATGGCCGTCGAGCGCTCCCGAGAGAGCAGGGCTCTCATCTCCACCGAGTCGAAGCACACTCCGAGATATGTTATAGACTGACTCGGGGTGAGAATGCTCTTCTGCATGTTGACACATAGCCCTAGGGACTCCAAGTGACGAAGCAGCATGTTTAAATGGCTGACTAGCGTGTCCCGGGACTGAGCTAAAATCTGCCAATCGTCCAGATAGTTGAGAATGCGCATCCCGCTCGCTCTGAGGGGGGAAAGTGCTGCATCCATGCACTTCGAGAATATTAGTAATTTTATTTGTGATGATGCTGTAGTTTGTCTCAGTCTGTTGACACACAATGAAATGTGCTTAAAGGTAGGGTTAAGGTAAGGGGATAGAAAATACAGTTTGTAGAAAAAACATTACGCCTCTGGAATGTCCCCATAGCGACCGGATTAACTGACTTTAAGCAGTTGGATTTAAAAGGATTTAAAAGTGAAGCTGTTAACAATAAGAAATGAAGGGCAATTGTGGAATATTTTTGCTGAATTCCCTAGTCTGCATGTTTCCAGTTTATAGAGTGCTCTGGTTTATTATAAATTAGAGTGTAATATGTTGACAGCATTTTCAGACTGGTTCACACCTACAGTGATGTGATAATGAAGTGAGAGATCATGTGTGCTATGAATATGGGAAGAGCTTTACTGTAGCTGGCGATCTGAAACTGAATCAGAGAATTTATTCTGGAGAAACACCTCACAAGTGCTCATATTGTGACAGGAGTTTCACTTAGTCAGGAAACTTGAAAGGTCATGAGCGAGTTCACACTGGAGAGAAGCCATATCACTGTACTCAGTGTGGAGAGAGTTTCACTCAGTCAAAAGCTCTAGTGACTCGTTAAAAAGCGTTGTTCTGTGTCAGAGTGAGCAGATGTTTTCTACAGATCTACAAGACAACAATGTGAGATTCAGATACAGTAAATATGACATTAGCACAAATAAACTAGTTTTGCTGTAGGATGTTTTCTTCAGTGTTGTTGGAGAACATCAAAGAGAATTTAGTTACTTTAATCTTACATTGATTTACTGATGTGACGTAATTTCATACAGAATCTGGCCAAAACAAAGTTTGTTGTCTCAGTCTGTTGACCCATAATGAAATGTGCTTAATGTGCCAATTTACAGAAGATCTCAGACATCATCATAATGCATGAGGAGAGAACAGAACTATTGACTTTTCAGCAGCTCATTGTCTATTGACACTGTCTTGTTATCAGGAGAGATTATTCAGTGTAAATTAAGTGAACACGAGTATTTGATTTTAGAAAATCTGTTTCCATTTGGTTAATGCTATATATTGTGACAACAAAATAAAAATTCCAAAGCAGGATATTATCAGACATTAATAGGCTGGAAGCGGTTCTGTGAGTTGTATGTGTGTGTGTGTGTGTGTATGCATTCATGTGCCTGTGTTTTAACAAGAATTCCCCATAGGTGGCAGGAATACACTAAAGAGTTGTCAAATTTGTCATAAAAATCCAAAAGAACAAATTGTGCAGAAGATAGAAGTGCAGAAAAAAGTGCTGAAGATTTCAAGTTGGAGCTAAAAAGGCTGTTACCCATTATAAATGAAGGGCAATTGTGGAATATTTTCACAGAATGCCTTATCTGCATGTTTCTAGTTTACAGTGTCCTGGTTTATTATAAATTAGAGTGTAATAAGTTGGCAGAGTTTTTCAGACTTTGAGTTTGTGTGAGCACTTCTGTGTGATAAAGATGATTTCATAACTCCATGTTTTTATAAACAGCGTTTATTTTCTAATGTATGAATTTATGTTTATTTTACGTAAATGTGCATTGTTTGTGCTACAGCATACTACAGAACTGAATAGAATCATTCATTTTGAACTATGTTTATATTGTGTATATATAAAAATGCATCTCTTTGCATTTGACCTCTGCTTTGGCTTGTTTCATAGTCCAGCTTTTTAGTTAACCTGCCATTATTCATTATGCATATTGTTGGCTGTGTGATGAATGGCTTGTGGCTGTTTTATATGACACTAATATGTGACCATCAGATGCTTTATATTTTGAACAGAAAAACTAATATATGTGGTTAATTTAAAGTAATAGAGTATAAATTCAGTAACTTGTATTTGATTTCTCCAGATCTGGTCATGTGAGTCTTGGTATCAGTCAATGATCACAGTTCACACCTACAGTGAAGCCCCTCCCACAACAGTTCAGCTATAAATACTGGAGAATATTCACATCATCCTACAAGAGAAGAACAAACTCCAGGTGCAGCAGCTGAAATCTCTGACTGTTAAAGATGGAGTTTATTAAAGAGGAGATTGAAGACATGAGTGATCCAGAACCATCCAGAATAAAACATGAAGATACTGAGGAACAAACAGGTTGGTGTCCATTCATGATTCTTCATTACTGACTGCTGAGAAACATTAATCTAACAAAGATCCAGTTCACTTGATTTTAACCACATAATTTGTTTATTTTAGACTCGGCTGAAATAAAACAGCAAAGAGTGAAGCTGAAAGAAGTAGAGGAGGAAAAATCAAGAAAAAAAGCCAAACAGCTGCACACCTGCTCACAGTGTGGAAAGAGTTTCAGAAAAAAAGAAAACCTTAATGTGCACATGCAAATCCACACTGGAGAGAAACCATACACATGCCCTCAGTGTGGAAAGAGTTTTACCGCAGCAGCAGGTCTCCGGTATCATCTGCATGTTCACTCTGGAGAAAAGCCATTTAACTGTGATCAGTGTGATAAAAAGTTTATTTCACCATCATTTCTAAAACAACACCAAAAAGTTCATTCAGATGAGAAGCCTCATGTTGGAGAGAAACCATACACATGCCCTCAGTGTGGAAAGAGTTTTACCGCAGCAGCAGGTCTCCGGTATCATCTGCATGTTCACTCTGGAGAAAAGCCATTTAACTGTGATCAGTGTGGAAAAAAGTTTATTTCACCATCATTTCTAAAACAACACCAAAAAGTTCATTCAGATGAGAAGCCTCATGCGTGTACTTTATGTGGAAAGACTTTCATAAATAAGGGAAATCTTAATGTGCACATGAGAGTCCACACTGGAAAGAAACTGTACACATGCCCTCAGTGTGGAAAGAGTTTTGCTGCAGCAGCCGGTCTCAGTTATCATCTGCACATTCACTCTGGAGAAAAGCCATTTAACTGTGATCAGTGTGATAAAAAGTTTATTTCACCATCATTTCTAAAACAACACCAAAAAGTTCATTCAGATGAGAAGCCTCATGTGTGTACTTTATGTGGAAAGACTTTCATAAATAAGGGAAATCTTAATGTGCACATGAGAGTCCACACTGGAAAGAAACTGTACACATGCCCTCAGTGTGGAAAGAGTTTTGCTGCAGCAGCCGGTCTCAGTTATCATCTGCACATTCACTCTGGAGAAAAGCCATTTAACTGTGATCAGTGTGATAAAAAGTTTATTTCATCATCAGGTCTAAAACAACACCAGAAAGTTCATTCAGATGAGAAGCCTCATGTGTGTTCTTACTGTGGAAAGAGTTTTTCACGGCTGGCCAGTTGTAAACTGCACCAGAAAACACATAATGAAGTGAGAGATCACATGTGCTTTGAGTGTGGGAAGAGCTTTACTGTAGCTGCCGTTTTGGCAAGACACCAAAGAAGTCACACTGGAGAAAAATCTTACAAGTGCTCATATTGTGACAAGAGTTTCACTGAGTCTGGAAGCCTGAAAAGGCATGAAGGACTTCATACTGGAGAGAAGCCGTATCACTGTACTCAGTGTGGAAAGCGTTTCATAGATGCATCTGGTCTCAGTTATCATCTGCACATTCACTCTGGTGAGAAGCCATTTAGCTGTGATCAGTGTGGTAAAAAGTTTATAAGATCATCAAATCTAAAAAGTCACCTGATAGTTCATTCAGATGAGAAGCCTTACTTCTGTTCTTTCTGTGGAAAGAGTTTTTCAAGACTGAGTTACTGTAAGCAGCATCAGAAAACGCATAATGATGTAAAAGGTCATGTGTGTTGTGAGTGTGGGAAGAGATTTAATACAGCTCCTCATCTGAAACAGCACCAAAGAATTCACACTGGAGATAAACCTCACAAGTGCTCATATTGTGACAAGAGTTTCATTCATTCTGAACACCTGAAAGAGCATGAGCGAGTTCACACTGGAGAGAAGCCGTATTACTGTACTCGGTGTGGAAAGAGTTTCACTCGGTTAAGAATTCTAGTAACTCATATAAAAAAGCATTGTTCTGTGTCAGAGTGAGCAAATGTTTTCTACAGTTTCTGACCTTTTTTATAACATAACACTTTTTTCAAAGATATTTATTTCTATATTTCTCTGCAACAAAATAGTTACATTTACATTTAGTCATTTTGCAGACCCTTTTATATAAAGCGACTTACAGTTGGGGAATACATAAAGCGATTGTTCTTAAAGAGGCAAACAGACACCGGAAGTGCTCGTAATACCAAGTTTCAGGCATTGTTCAAATAAGTACAAGCTAGAAAGGGAAGGACTAAATCAAGAGAAAGACAAAGTTTTTTTTTCTTTAAAGAAACAGTATATCTGTGGGGGTGAAACTAGAAAGACTTATGAGTGGAACTTCAGTCAACTCTTAGTGTGAGTAAAATGGTTTTGCAAAATCTCATTTGGGTGCTAAGTAGGTCTTGCTTAAAAAAGAAATATTCATGTCATTTACTATTGGCCAAGTGTAGTGGAAGCTTATTGCTGTGAGTCTGGATGGAGCTTTATTGTTTTTACATAGGGATATATGTCTGAGAATATAAAGAAAGACTAATGTTGAGTATTTATATATTTAAACTAATTGAAATGTCTTGTAATGCTGTTTGATTTGTTGTCAACCAATGCAATGAAGATTAAAATACTAGTAGCCTAGATTAACTAATTCATATGTATGACGATAGTGTAACAGTACAGACTCAGAGATGTGATTTACTTAAGAATATGTGGCCCGTTTAAGAAGAGCATGTGCAAAAGAGAGTCGAGTGCTGACACTTTCACCAGTTGAGGCTGAAAATGAAGCTGTTAATAATAGTGAATGAAGGAGGATTTGTGAAATATTTTCACTGAATGCCGTATACACTGTAGGGATTTCTTAATATGAACGGACACTGATAACAGCCATCACAAGGGTTTACTAATCACCCAGCATATGATTCCAATATTCTGGTTCGATTTCCTGTCAGTCTCGTAAACTCATCTACTCATGAGAGCGAAACTAATTCAATCAAATGACAACAAAGCTTTCTTTGCATCGACTTCTAGATACCTCGCGATGTCTCGGGACCATCAATGACTAACTATTATGTCCGAACAGGAAAAGGATGAGTAAATTAACTAGGGCCCTCAGGCCCGATCTAGACGTGACTAACACAGGACTCCCAGCACATCTGCTGTCTGAAACCCTTACGTTATGTGTCACAGACAATTCAGAAGACAACCAGTGAAAATCATTGATAGTATCGGAGCAATATACTCCCGAATAATATGCTTTCTGTTTGATGTGTTTATTGTAACCAATGAAGTATTAATCGATATTTTATAACTATTTTTGTATAGATAAAGTGATTAAAGGTACTCTGTGTATGCCAGATATGCGAAGTTTAGGCTTGTAGGAATGGTCATGATATTTAAGTAACCTTGTTATGGATGAAAATGTTTTATTTTGAACAGTGTGCGTTGTACGACAAAGCGCCCCACGCCGTACCACGGCACTAGTGAGACCATCTAAGAACTCAAACTGCTGAAATCGGTGTTGAACTGGTGAATTGAGTTAAGCAGTAAAGATAAGAAAATTATGTTGCTTTGTGTTTCTCCCAGGCTGAATTTAAAACCACTCGTGAAAAACGAGTTAGGACTTTGAAAACTTCATGCAACTCCGTTAACTCATTTCCTTGAATCTTTGTGTGTATGTGTGTGTATGTTTTAGCTTAGTCTTAATGTAATCTAGAATAGCCAATAAAATTTGTTTTCATTTATAAATAATCATCGTCTGGTGTCATATAATTTCAAGGTTAAAACTGTTGCCAAAAAGATCCCTTGCTACTTAGCTCGTAGCTTACTTATAATAATTACCTCTCTCTAAGAGCTGATCAATTGTCATAATTGTGTTAACCCATGGCCAGGGAGAACATAAAATACATATTAAATTGGTAATATACACTGACATTAACTTCTCGCTGGCCGAGTAGCTGATAGAGTGTAAACCATTTAAATTTGAAATCGGTTTAATCAGGTGGACTTGGGATATTCAGATCAGAGTCCTCTCAAAACATGAATGAATTAATAATAATTAATTCCCTACAATTACAATGAATAAATCAAAGTTACTACAACACTCTTAAAAATAAAGGTGCTTCACGATGCCATAGAAGAACCTTTTTGTCTAAATGGTTCCATAAAGAACCTTTAACATCTGAAGAACCTTTCTGTTTCACAAAAGCTTCTTTGTGGTGAAAAAGGGTTCTTCAGATTATAAGAAGGTAAGAAAGAAATGGTTCTTTAAAGAAGAGTGTTTTTTTAAGAGTGTATCTCCAGTCTGCATGTGAGAGATGTACCTTTGACATTAATCAGCTCTAGTATTGAAGTACTAATACAATTAAACCCATTATGTGTCCAGGTTTATTATTAATTAGAGTGTAATATGTTGGCAGAGAGTGTTGACACGCATAATGTGCCCATTTACAGAAAATATCAGGCATCAAATATCAGGCTTTTCAGCAGCTTGGTTATGCAGCATAATGTTCAGATATACATAATGGCCCTGTTATTTCTGTATATGGACAATATCTAACTGTACTGTTCTTAATTTTTATTCTTTGCTTTGAATGAGTTTTTTGTTTTTTATTTAAGTTTAAAAGTGCAATTCTCCTACACAACGCCTAAAAAGGTGAACACCTGAAAGCACATGAGCGAGTTCACACTGGAGAGAAGCCGTATCACTGTACTCAGTGTGGAGAGAGTTTCACTCAGTCAACAACTCTAGTGACTCATATTAAAAAGCATTGTTCTGTGTCAGAGTGAGCAAATGTTTTCTACAGATTCAATACTTCAAGTACATTTTGTGAGAATAAGATACAGTAAATATGAGATTACAGATTACAGTTTGCAAAAGTATTTAGTCACTTATCCTTGTCTTTTGACCTTTTTGTTGTATAAAGTGGTTTTCTAAGATATTTATTTATAAGTTTCTTTGCAACGTAAAAGTTGTATACGCTAGGTATGATGATGCGAATAAAATTGCCATTTCACTGAGATCTGATTATGTGTGATTTTTTTTATTGATGTGTTAGGCCATTAGTTATTCAGTAATAGGTTTTGTTTGTGATGATCCTGTAGTTTGTCTCAGTCTGCTGACACACAATGAAATGTGCTTAATGTGCCAATTTACAGAAGATCTCAGACATCATCATAATGCATGAGGAGAGAACAGGGAACTATTTGCTTTTCAGCAGCTCGTTGACTTTTGTTATCAGGAGGGATTATTCAGTGTAAATTAAGTGTATTGGATTTTAGAAAATCGGTTTCTAATTTGTTTAAATGCTATATTTTGTAGCATCAAAATAAAAAGTCAAAAGCAGGATATCATGCATTAATAGGCTGGAAGCGGTTGTTACCACGAGAATATGATCAGGGCACTGGGGGTTAACTAGGAATCACGCTTAATCTGGACACATCCTGACCTAACAGACTATTCAGGGTTCCTCAAATCTTGCCCTGGAGGTCCAATGCGCTGCAGAGTTTAGCTCCAACCCTGATCAAACTCAGCTACCTGTGATTTTTCTATTAATGATCCTGAAGACGTTGATTAGCATGCTCAGGAGTGTTTGATTAGGGTTAGAGCTAAACTCTGCAGGAAAGTAGATCTCGTGGGCCAGATTTGAGGATCCCTGGACTATATTATATGAGAGATATCTCTGTTTTACCAGCATTTCCCTTTAGATGGCAGCAATACACTAAAGAGTTTGCCGTAAAAACGCAAAGGAACAAATGGAGCATGCACACTTGCACAGAAGAGAGTAGCGTGAAAGACGAGTGATGGATATACTTATAACGGACTAAAAGCTATAAGTGACGCTGTTATTGATCATAAATAAAGGTCAGTCGTGGAATATTTTCAGTATGCATGTGAGAGATGTTCACTGTTTACAGAGTTTGCATGTTTTGATTGATTATTAACTAGACTGTAAAATGTTGGCACTTGGCAGATAGTTTTTTTGACTTCTGTGTGATAAATATTTCATGCCTTTTTTTTTAGACTCTTACATTTACATTGTCATTTTATCCAAAGCGACTTACAATTGGGGAATACATAAAGCGATTGTTCTTAAAGAGGCAAGCAGACACCGGAAGTGCTCGTAATACCAATACCGCATCTGATTGACAGATAAACCACGAGCTCTATCAGTTATTGTTAATGCTCTGGTTATTTTGTTTTAGTGTACAGTTTGTTAATATTGTGCAAAGCATACAGTCAAAGTACACTTAATCATTCAGCTGAACTGTGCACATTTATTTTAGACACTTCATGTCTTGTTTAATTCATGCGATAAACGCATGTCCCTGCTGAGCTGTGGGCTAATGCTGCGTTCAAGTCCTCCTGGGACGGTCTCGGGTTTGAGTCGTTCATTCATCACGTGACAGCCCCATAAGCCCAAACCCGAAGACTTGTCAGATGAGCTGAGGTGCGCTAATCATAGACTGAAGACTCAGGTAAACAATGAATTAATCTTTTCTGTTTCTTATAGCAGTTTTGTATTGTTTGTAGTGTGATCAACGTTTGCGTAAGTAGTAGATGTGTTAGGGAAGTAACACATAACATTTTAATTATATTTTGCTAAAATGAACGAAATGACTCGAAAAAAGATTTGTTCATTTTGCTGAACGAGACTCAAAGGTTCGAGTCGGTAAAATGATCCGAACTTCCCATCACTAGACGGTCATTCTTACGAGTTGATAAGTCGTAATTACGACGTCAGGTATAACATTTTAATTATATTTTGCTAAAATGAACGAAATGACTCGAAAAAAGATTTGTTCATTTTGCTGAACGAGACTCAAAGGTTCGAGTCGGTAAAATGATCCGAACTTCCCATCACTAGACGGTCATTCTTACGAGTTGATAAATCGTAATTACGAAGTCAGGTACGTTCAAATCAGTTTAGTCGGCACAAGATGGCGGTGTACCTTCTTTTAATAAATTACAAGAAAATACAACAGGGTCTGCTAACTCTGCTTATAGAAAATGAAGAGCAAAGAATTCGCATCAGGTGTGTTTTGCGTTTTTAATATTTTTAAAACGTGCAACATGGCAAATCAAAAGATTTTTCACCTATTGGTGCAAAAATGATAGCATTTTTTACTTGGATTTCATTAACTAGCTGCGTAACAAGAACATGACCAATTTAAGTTTATAGGACAACTAAACTATCAATTTAAACAAAAATTTACCGTCAACTACAGATGTTGCATCCATCGATTCCGCCATGTTTCTCATTGACACGCCCCCAACTCAGAAACTCGGGGCTTAAAGAAAATTTTGAGTTTCCCACTCGTAATAATGACTTTGTGGTGGCGTTCAACTCGTAAATACGATCTATCCGACATGACTTGAACGCACCATATGACTAATTTCATGGGCAAAGCAGACAAAATTACAATTTACGTATGGTAATTATTATTATTATTATTTTACAAATAAAGCTTCATATGAGAAGGATACATTCTACGACCTATCCTGCAGTCATCATTGTGAGATTAGGTTCCTTCAATAAAAAAAAAATAAGAATCGAAAACAACAGTGAGAATCGATTCCAGAACCAGGAATTGGAATCGGAATCGGACTCGATACCAAAAATTTCGGAATCGAACAGCCCTATGTTCCTGGTTAAGACTCAAGACATTCTCAACAGAGCGATGAATCAACAAGTCACTATGGAAACGGACGCTAAGAATAAGGGCGCCATGCTGTTTCTTTCTTCTTCTTTTGTTCAATGTAGTGTTTTATAATTTATACAAATAACTGTTATATATGCCAATAAAATAAATATAATAACCATATTAGAATAATATATTACCTTATTTATTACTTATATTAGTGCTTCATCATTAACATATCATACAAATATATATATATACTGTATATATAAGCTATATTACATATTGTAATATTATTTAATGTTGTGCGCTATCTGTCACGCCCACTGAAGGCTCGTCAGTAGATCACACATGTGCTGAAGTGAACTAACCCTAGAACAGAAGCTTCTCCGGAGCAGGTTATCTTCAGAGAGCAAGTTACTATGGTTACTTACATACCCTGAAAGTAACCTCCGATGTTGGAACCGAAAGCTGAGGTTATCTGCTCGCTTATCCTCAAACATACCCGGGTATGTCACATAACCTGCTTTTTGGAATACCCCCCAGACTGTATTCAGTGTGTTTATATTGTGTATATCTAAAATGGATCTCTTTGCATTTTAATTCTGCTTTAGCTTGTTTCCTAGTACAGCTATTTAATAAAGTTTCCATTGTGCATTATGAATATTGCTGGCTGTGTGACGAATGGCTTGTGGCTAATATGCTTTATATTTTGAACAGCAAACTAATATGTGTGGTTAATGTAAAGTAATGCAGTATAAATTCAGTAACTTATTTTTTATTTCTCCAGACCTGGTGCTGTGGGTCTCAGTATCAGACAATGATCAGTGAAGCCCCTCCCACAACAGTTCAGCTATAAATACTGGAGAATATTCACATCATCCTACAAGAGAAGAACAAACTCCAGGTGCAGCAGCTGAAATCTGTGACTGTTAAAGATGGAGTTTATTAAAGAGGAGATTGAAGACATGAGGGATCCAGAACCATCCAGAATAAAACATGAAGATAATGAGGAACAAACAGGTTGGTGTCCATTCATGATTCTTCATTACTGACTGCTGAGAAACATTAATCTAACAAAGCTCCAGTTCACTTGATTTTCAACACATATTTTGTTTATTTTAGACTCGACTGAAGTAAAACAGCAAAGAATGAAGCTGAAAGAAGAGGAGTGTTGTAAAATCAAAATTTCAAGAAGAAAAGCCAAACAGCTGCACACCTGCTCACAGTGTGGAAAGAGTTTTACTGCAGCAGCCGGTCTCAGTTATCATCTGCACATTCACTCTGGAGAAAAGCCATTTAACTGTGGTAAAAAGTTTCATGCACCATTCAGTGTAAAAAAACACAAGAAAACACATTCAGATGAGAAGCCTTACTTGTGTTCTTTCTGTGGAAAGGGTTTTTCAAGGCTAGACAATTGTAAACAGCATCAGAAAACACATATTGAAGTGAGAGATCATGTGTGTCGTGAGTGTGGGAAGAGCTTTACTGCAGCTGCCTTTCTGAAACAGCACCAAAGAATTCACACTGGAGAAAAACCTTACAAGTGCTCATATTGTGACAAGAGTTTCATTCAGTCTGTAAACCTGAAAGCACATGAGCGAGTTCACACTGGAGAGAAGCCGTATCACTGTACTCAGTGTGGAAAGAGTTTCACTCAGTCAACAACTCTAGTGACTCATATTAAAAAGCATTGTTCTGTGTCAGAGTGAGCAAATGTTTTCTACAGATTCAAAACTTCAAGTAAATTTTGTGAGAATAAGATACAGTAAATATGAGATTAGCTCAAATAAACTAGATTTGCTGTGGAATAGATTTGTGGGGATGTTATTTTCTGTTTTGTTGGAGAACAGAAAAAGTATTTAGTCACTTTAAAGGGGTCATATGATGCGATTTCAATTTTTCCTTTCTCTGGAGTGATACAAGCTCTTGGTGAATAAAGAAGATCTGTAAAGTTGCAAAGACTAAAGTCTCAAATCCAAAGAGATATTCTTTATAAAAGTTAAGAGTCAGCCATGCCTACCTAAAATGGCTCGTTCTAACACGCCCCCACATGTCTACTTCATGATGTGTGAAGATTTGCATAATGCGGCCCAAATGTTCACGCAAAGAAAGAAGGCGTAACTTTTATTCTCGCTGTAGTATTGTTGTTGCCGCCGCCATGTCGTGGAGTCGCTGTGTTTCGTTGTGAAAGCGAAAGTACTTTGTTTGGTCTTCCCAAAGAGGATGATATCTGCTTCGTCATGCCTAGAGCTGATCCGTGCTGGTCGCTGAGGAAATACAACAACTTTGCGCTTTGGATCGTCGAATCGGCTTTCACCGTGAACGAAGCGGAGTCCAGCCCGGGGTCGTCACATGTGGTTGCCGCAAGCCCTCCGGA